AGCATTGCACGCAATTATAAAATTAATGGATGATGTCATTTGTTAGCGACTGAGGAACAAGCGCAGAAATGTTGATGATTTGCATTGTCGATTGTAACATTTTTCCATAGAAATTCATGGTGGCGAACTATCGCACTTCGGAGTGTTTATACATATGCCCGGTATGAATTATTGCATCACACGCACGTCCTTTTCAACTTCGAATCGTAGCCGGGCGTTGGCTCTCCTAGTACGTAAGCAACTGGAGTTTAATTTGCCTCAAATTTAATCCTAATCGATCAGTTCTACAAGGTGTGTTTCAAAGTAAACAGGACTTTTAAAAAACAAGATGGAACGCTACAGTCGAGTAAGCCCGACAGTAAAATAGCCTGTACTCTGCACAAAAAGAAAAATTACAAAAAAAATATTTAAAAAAAATTAAATTATTTAAATAAACTTTAATTAATTTATTAAATTAATTAAGAAAATTTATTTAATACATACATAGAAGGCATTTTTATGTACAGTTTTACATTTACATCACTTGTCTATGCTTGTTTATATACGTGTATATATAAGCAACAACAGCTGCGGGCAGCGCTGCAAGCAGAGCATGGGCAGCGATTTTATTTATGGCTATAACTTTCTTCAGAATTGACCTATCATGATGAAACTTGGCATACGGACACATAAACACTAACTGGACGTAACTACTAAAACTGATTTCAAAATTCCAAGAATTACGGGAGTTATGAAAAAAAAACACGAATTGCGGGGGAGTGGGAGGGGGGGGGGGTGTATCAGAAAAAATAAACAAACTTGATCTGCCTAGGGCTTATAGGAACCTTGATACCAATTTTGGTAATCCTAGCTTTTGTACTTACTGAGATCCTTGCGCTCATACAGACAGACGGACATGGCTATATCGACTCGTCTTGTCACCCTGATCAAGAATATATATACTTTGTGGGGTCTGCCACGTCTCCTTCTGTGTGTTACATACATACGCACAAAACTAGTATAGCCTTTCACCCTTTGCACGATCCAAAAGCATGTCGAACGAGTGTTTTAGCTCGTTGGCCGGTATGGCCGCCAGTATGCCGGTGCAAGCCTTTTGAGTGGTCTCTACGTCTGCATAACGCTTTCCCTTCATGGGCCAATGCATTTTTCCGAAAAGGTAGAAGTCGCACGGTGCCATATCAGGTGAATACGGCGAGTGGTTAATGGTTAAAATGTGATTTTTGGTCAAGAAATCGGTCACAATCGGTTGGATTCTGAGCAATTTTTGGTCGTCAGCCAATTTGTACGGAAAAACCGTGCACACACCTTTCGTAAGCCCAAATGTTCGGTCAAAATTCGATAAATCGATGTTTTGGAGATGTTCAATTCCATTTCCATCAATTTCAATTATGATTTCGGCTGATTTTTGATGAATTCACGCACAGTTTCGATGGAATTTTCGGTGATCACGAATTTTGATTGGCCCACATGTTGATCGTCATTTATGTTCTCACGACCACTTTGAAAACGTTGAAACCACTCGTGCACTCTGCTACGGGATAGGCAATGAAACGTTTCGGTAAAAGTTTTACCAATTTTCAAACAAAATTTGATGTTGGCTCTAGCTCATTTTCGCATGGATAACGCAAACATACTGACACTTAAAACGCAATAACTTCACTTCCAATCGATGAAATGTCATGAAATTCTCACTGGACAATCGATAAAGATAGCAGATTCTAACGCACCCGTCGACATATAGATAGCGCCACCAGGGGGCGCTAGATTCAAAAAGTCCTGTTTACTTTGGAACGCACCTTGTAAGCAAGTGGAGATGCTAAAGTTGGGTGTCCCGAGAATCTGGATACAAAGTTTGGTTATTCTAGCTCTTGTACTTTCTGAGATCCTTGCGTACATACAGACAGACAGACTGACATGGCTATATCGAGTCGGTTTGTCACCCTGATTTGTGGTGTCTTCCATGCCTCCTTCTGTGTGTTACATACATTTGCACAAAACTAGTATACCCTTTTACCCTTTGGGTACAGGCTATAAAACTGCCACCAAAAACAGCATCATTGGTAAAAAAAAAAAAAACAAACACAAAATCAAACATGTCGAGCAAGCCCGACAGTAAAGCCTGTAGTCTCCACAAAAAAGAAAAATTAAAAAAAAAAATTTTTTTTTTTAATTAAATTTAAAAAAAATGAATGAATGAATGAATTAATTAAATTAGAATACATGTTTATGTTCAGTTTTAACAGCATACATTTACATCACGTACCTATGCGTGTTTATATGCGTGTATGCAGCACAAAGTTGAACCAAAGCAGCAACAACAACAACAGCTGCGGACAGCGCTGCCGGCAGAACTGCAGGCAGTGCATGAGCAGCGATTTTACTTATGGCTATAACTTTCTTCAGAATTGACCTATCATGATGAAGCACACACATGGCACACGGACACATTAGTACTATCTGGATGTACCTACCAAAATTGATTTCAAAATTCCGAGAATTACGGAAGTTATAAGAAAAAACACAAATTGCGGGGGAGTGGGGGGGTGCATCGAAAAAAAATTCAAACTCGTACTTTCTCGGTCTTAGGAGAATATGGAAACCAAGTTTGGTTATTCAAGCTCTTATACTTTATGAGATCCTTGCGTTCATACGGACAGACAGACGGACAAGGCTATATCCACTCGGCTTCTCATCCTGATCAAGAATATATATACTTTGTGGGGTCTGCCACGCCTCCTTCTGTGTGTTACATACATGCGCACAAAACTAGTATACCCTTTCACCCTTTGGGTACAGGCTATAAAAATCTAAGGTCGGGTGTCCCGACTTTGAAATACTCTGTACATATGTTTAGAATAATGATAAAAACCACGGCATACGGACACATAATCACATAATTCCAAAATACACTGCGTATTCACATAAGGCATCTTGGACTAAAATTTGGTGTTCCTAGGTCCTATAGTCTCCGAGATATAGGCGATACGAATTGAAATTCGGGAAAACCCCCATAGGGGGGAAGTGGGGGGGGGGTCAAAAAATAAAACAAACTTGCACAGCGTACACACATAAGGCAAAATTTAGTGCCTATAGCTCTTATAGTCTCTGAGATCCAGGTGTTTACACGGACAGACAGACAGACAGACATAGATCGACTCGTCTCGTCATGCTGATCAAGAAGTTATGTATATACTTTGTGGGGTCTGCCACGCATCCTTCTGTCTGTTACATTTTCAGCTCCCGCAAACCTTATATACTCTTGTACGTTTTATGTATGCATAAACATACATACACTAACAAATACGCAATTGCTATGTAAATGTGCAATTATACTCCCTTTAAGTGAGTTCGAATACCAAGAGAGGTAAAATCTATGAAATAATTATTCTAAACATATGTACAGAGTATTTCCAAGCCGGGACACCCGACTTTAACTTTTTTACTTGTAATTGTTTTTGTTGCTGCTTTGGCTCAAGTCTCTAGTGCACAAATGTACAGGCATGCATATATACAATGTTTAGGTTAATGTATTCTATTGACACTGTACGACTCTAAGTGTTATGTATTTGTGAATTTTTATAGCCTGTACCCAAAGGGTGAAAGGCTATACTAGTTTTGTGCGCATGTATGTAACACACAGAAGGAGGCGTGGCAGACCCCACAAAGTATATATATTCTTGATCAGGATGAGAAGCCGAGTCGATATAGCCTTGTCCGTCCGTCCGTCTGTCCGTCTGTCTGTCCGTCTGTCTGTCCGTCTGTCCGTATGAACGCAAGGATCTCAGAAAGTATAAGAGCTAGAATAACCAAACTTGGTTTCCATATTCTCCTAAGACCGAGAAAGTACGAGTTTGAATTTTTTTTCGATGCACCCCCCCACTCCCCCGCAATTTGTGTTTTTTCTTATAACTTCCGTAATTCTCGGAATTTTGAAATCAATTTTGGTAGGTACATCCAGTTAGTACTAATGTGTCCGTGTGCCAAATTTCATCATGATAGGTCAATTCTGAAGAAAGTTATAGCCATAAGTAAAATCGCTGCTCATGCGCTGCCTCTGTCGGCAGCGCTGCCCGCAGCTGTTGTTGTTGTTGCTACTTTGGTTCAACTTTGTGCTGCATACATACACGCATATAAACACGCAAAAGTACGTGATGTAAATGTATGCTGTTAAAAATAAACATAAACATATATTCTAATTTAATTTAATTAATTAATTCATTAATTTTTTTTAATAATTTAATTTTTTTTTAAATTTTTCTTTTTTGTGGAGAGTACAGGCTATTTTACTGTCGGGCTTGCTCGACTGTAGCGTTCTATCTTGTTTTATTTTATTTAATTAAAGTTTAAAAAAAATTAACAAAAAAGATTGTTTTTGATATTGTGGAAGTGGGTACAGGACATTTAAGAGGCTATGCGCGCATATAACACAGCGGCGGATTTGTTTTTGGGTACAGGGTATTTCACTGACGGGCTTTACGACTGCAGCATTCTCTTTTGGTATAAGCAATATATGATGTGAAGACGTTACAGAACACAAGCATGTTTAATGTTTGTGAAAACTTCTGTTGTCAAATTTTCTCACCAACAAAGAAACAATAAGATTAACAACAACGAGGCACACAATCTAAATATATAAAAAATATGTATAAAGCTTGCACGCATTTATTTCAATTGGGCCGGTGTGTCATTTTATCGATCCAACAATGGCGCTCAAAACAACCACAACACAAGGCAGACAAGGAAGTCAAGAAAGGCGAAAACTTTTCAGATGAAGCTTGCACAGGATTATGTCGATACATGACGACGGGGTGCGGCGCCGGATGGGTATTTAGTGGGTCGACGCGTGCGCAGAAAAATAAACAGCGTCGCAATATACACAAAAATATGCCAACCATGTAAATGACATAACAAACATACATATATCTAAACTGATGGTCATCGGTATGTACAAATATCTGTGGGTAAGCAGATCTGCATAACATATAGAATTGAAAACTCACTGGCATTCATTCATGATCTCCTCCTGGCTGCGAACCTGTACCGGCGCCAGCTCCTCCACATTTTCTTCGTAGTTTCCAAAGCATTTAGTTATCTTGTCATCAAACGTATTAACCAAATCTTCCAAGCTACCGCCAAATGTCTCCGTGAAATTGTCCACATGATCGCCTGCTGCCAAGCGCTTGTCGGCAACATCCAAGCCGGCTCCATCTCCCGGTACTTCACCAACATCGGAGAGGCCTAGTTCCATGGAGCCAAGCAGGGTATTGCAATTGGGGCTTATATTGCCACCAGCACCCCCATTTTTGCTGACGTGCGCATCACGCACTGCATCTTCCAACAAACGCAATTTGGTGTCTTGCTTTCCTACAACGTCAGCGTCCTTTAGATTCAGATTTAGTGTGTCATTCAGAGCATTCTGATTTGTGATGAAGTCGCAACCGCCCCACTCGTCCGTCTCCTCAAATTTTGCCAGTGGAGCTTCGAATTTCAGCTCGGCCATTTTGGTGCCGAGGTCACGCATGGCACGGTGCGACAACGGCGGCAACGGCGATAACAGCGACAGGAAGGTACGCAGTAAGTGGCGGCTATTGTGCTTAGATTAAACACGCGACACAGACACACACAACTGCGCCCAATTTTTCTCTGGTGTTGCTCTAAATTTACAACCCCTACTTGAAAACGTACTGCGTCTTTTCAAATACAGCCCACACTTGTTACGTATTTTTATTTCTTGTTAGTGCACAAATAATTTGCTCATCACTTTTTCATTCGTGCAGCCGTCTCTTGGACTGATTGTTCCGTACAATAAAAAAAAAAACAAACAGAGGAGTTCACTTATTTTACGTTTATTACAAAAGTCAATTAATTATAGCGGCAACGACAATGACGACGAATACAATAATACGCACAAAAATAAATATAAGTACTTGACGAACGAACAGAGCCACAAAAACAACGAAAATTATCTGGGGGTTAAAAAAAAATCGATTTTTTTTGACATCGGCAATGCTTAAATAAGTACTCGATTATTTCCGATGTTTTACGAATGCGGTACATCGACGATCATCATTGCTTTGGCAAAAGCATCGAAAGTTACTTATCTTGTATTTCAGTTGGAGGCTCTTCTAAAATAAGACATTTTATTTCCTGCCTGATATATCGGACAACCATCCGTTTATTAATTGTCTCGATAAAAACACTGGACATCTATTCCAGCTTTTCCATTATAATCTTACGCCTTGTGTTGGAAAATTGAAATTCATTTTTGCAGCTAACTGCATTTGAATATCACGTCTTATTAATCTTATTTATCGAAATAAAAAATATTCGGCATTCATTACATAAAGGTATACTGTATTGTATTAAACATGCCCTCATAAACACAAAAATATTTGTGTGTGGTAAAATCGACGTTTTGTCGCAATATATCGGCACACAATTGATTGCCCTTAACGAAATGTTGCGTACTTTATTTGCAACCCTATCTGTGACTAGGGATGTAAGTCGAAGGGAAAATATCGATGTTGATGTACATTGATGTCTCTTTATCAAAAATCAATACATTGTCGATGCATCGCAAAAAAATCAATGCAATCAATTAACTTTCCATAGAAAAAAAGCTATTATTAGGGAGAAAATCAGCACCGATGTTTGGAATAAAAAATGTTTATATATCAAGAGCGACTGTCATAGCGTTATACTTAATGTTGTTAAGCAAAACAGTACTCGTAATATTGACTTTTATGAACCTGTATGGCTTAACTAAAAACAAGAGAGAACGCTACAGTCGAGCAAGCCCGACAGTGTAATACCCTGTACCCAGGTAAACTTCCGTCACTGAGTTATATGCGCCCATAGCAGCAGCAAAAAGAGGAAGAAGAAGAGCGAACTTGTTGCTGCAGTTTGTGGGGGTTGTACTGGGGAGAATTTGTTTCGCTAATAACTTTTCTTAGAATTGACAGAATATTGAATAAAATTTAATACAACAGTAGACAATTATATATAAATTATGTGTGCAATGTTTGGTTTAGGTAGCATTTGAAATGTGGACGCTATTGACGAAATTCTGTAGCGGGGGAAGGGGGGGGGGGGGGGGGGGGGGGGGGAATTAAAAAAAAAACATAAACTCGTCCTTACTCGGACCTAGGAGAATCTGGATGTCAACTTTGGTTATTCTAGCTTTTATAGTTTCTGAGATCCTTGCGTTCATCCAGACGGACGGACAGACGGATGGACATGTCTAGATCGATTTCTCTCGTCATGCTGATCAAGAATATATATACTTTATGGGGTCGGAGATGCTTCCTTCTGTATGTTACATACTTTGCACAAACCTAATATACCCTTTTTACCCTACGGGTACAGGGTATAAAAACTGGTTATATATAGTTTTAAAAACAACGACGCGCTACCGTTACACCTTTTAAGCATATTAAGGGTAACATAATGTACGAAATAAAGAAGATCAAATACTTAACAGACTAAAATTTATATTACAAAATACCAGGGTTCGTAAAATGTGCTCGCAACCCGCTGCAACCCTTAAGAAATGCTGGAGCGGGTTTTTTCGGGTCGCTGCTGACAGAGGCCGCGGGTCCGATCAGGTCGTACATATGTGTTAAATTTGTATGATGGTACGCTTGTGTGTATATATTTCAAGGCAAAATGTGCGCGATACATTTTATCCCTTATAGCCTCACTCAGCAGATTAGTCTGCGTTTGCATAGTGGTACCTGATACTAGATTTCGATTTTTTTGGCTATAGGAAATAAAAAGATCATTTGCAAATAAATAAACTTGTTACTAAAATATTTTTTACTATTCGAAAGAAATTTCGCTTATTAATTCCGCATTTAGTTTCGCTATTAAAATATCGCTCAATACATTTGGACTTAGTCTATTTCTTAATTTAGTAAAAATAAGTGGTAACGCGCTAAAAGCCCTCTCCACTGACACCTGAGTTGCTGGCACAGCCAACGCAATTTCCGCTATTTGTGCCAGCTCGGGTTCCCTACATTGAAGAGACTTCCAGTGCAGCAATATATTATCTTCGAGGCATAGTCGTTCACCAAATTGAAGATTGTGAAAAATACACTAGCATATGTGAATCGCTGCAGGTGCCGTTATGTGAATGAAGTATACGAATTGACTGCAGGTTTTATTGGTATAGGATACTCCTATAGGTAAAAAAGTCCATTTAAATTACGCCAAGTTGCAACGCTACGGATCCTTAAAAATAGTATCAGGTACCACTGTGCAAACGTAGGCAAAACAGCTGGGTCAAGTTGAAACGGAGTAGGCTGCAGGTACACAGTGAAAGGGATCGCGCACATTTCGCCTTAAAAAAAATATATACACACAAGCATACCATCATACAAATTTCACACATCACACATACATATGTATGTACATATGCCTGCCTACCACGAACGAGCGCTCTGCCATTGCAGACCGGCTCGTACGACACTGCTGCTGTCGGCAGCGACCCGCGGCGAAGCACGGCGTACCCGTACGACCCGTGACCTCTGCCAGACGACCCTATGCTTCAGTCGGCAGCGACCCACGGCGGCCCTCAGCAGAATTTCTCGCGGGCCCGAACGGGGTTTGCCCGCATTTTACGAACCCTGCAAAATACACATATTAATAATTTATTATACAAATATACCGTCTTCGGTAAACCACACAAAGAAATGTGACCGCCCAAACAAAACATGAATAATGTTCGATGTTTGGACACACATCGATGGATCGACGATGCATCGTTAGCAAAAAAACCATCGGAAAACATTGATGGATCGTGGTAAAAACATCGTCGATGCTCGATACATCGATGTTTTTTTACAGCCCTATCTATGACTGTGATAAGCTAGTAACAACAATATTTTCATAAATTCAAAGAATATTTTGTTATAAAAGCATAACATAAAAAAAATATAATTCATGACTAATTATGTGAGATCCACCCATTTTTGTTAATAAAAAATTAGCATGTCTGTATTATCTTAAAGGTTTTATTCAAAAATGCAAATTATAGCTTTGACTAACCTAGCTTTTCCCGCGATTTTTTTTCAAGTAGTAAAAAAACATCGAAAATCGGAAATAAAACATCGATGTTTGGAAAAAATTACAAAACATTGATATAACGATTTTACATCGATGTTTCGCCCAGCACTACCTTGGACACATTCCCACAAAATATGAAAAAATTAAATTAATTCATTAAATTAAATACAAAAATTACTCAATGCATACATGTGTACATACATACATATGTACAATAGCATACATACATTTACATTAGAATCGTGTCTCTGTGTGTTCATATGCGTATGAAAGCAGTGTTGCCAGCACCTCGCCACCAAATAAGGACAAAGAATCATAAAAAAAGCGGGAAAAAGAGATAGAAAAATTTAACAAGAGAGAACGCTACAGTCGAGCAAGCCAACAGTAAAATACCCGGCAGGGCTGCAGGCAGCGCATGAGCAGCGATTTTATTTATGGCTATAACTTTCTTCAGAACTGACCTATCATGAGGAAATTCGGCATACGGACACATAAGCACTAACTGGACGTAACTACTAAAACTGATTTCAAAATTCCAAGAATTACGGAAGTTATACAAGAAAATACTAATTGCGGGGGAGTGGGGGGGTGTATCAGAATAAAAAATAAACTTTGGTAATTCTAGCTCTTGTACCTTCTGAGATCCTTGCGCTCATACAGACGGACGGACAGACGGACATGGCTAAATTGACTCGGCTTGTCACCCTGATCAAGAATATATACATATACTATGTGGGGTCTGCCACGCCTCCTTCTGTGTGTTACATACACTCGCACAAAACTAGTATAGCCTTTCACCCTTTGGGTACATTATTATTATTATTGTTAATTCCACTTACAATTGCAAATTGCAAGAAGCTTGTGATTTAAGCTATAGCAGCTAAGGCCTTAAGCTTATCAGTGTCAACTTATTTACAATGTGTTTACTTAAGTCTAGATTTATTTACTAATCCTATTTTTATTTGTTTTATATCAGGTGGTAGAGATTTCAGTAAAGCTGAAAACCGACATGTCGTTACCAAAAAAATCGTATTATTCCTCTGAAAAACAGTGGTTTTTATAAAAACTTACTTCTTTTGATTTGTTTTATCGTTTAACGATAAATTTAATTCAAAAATCTGGAAACTTACGTGTTACAATAGCTGCATCACAACAAAGACTAAACTGTCCTACTTACTTATTTCGCACGCAAAAGTGAGGTAGTCCGGCTATTAATAGGCATAACGGGACAGCCTAACGGTTCTTATCAAATAAACAAATTACGGTGGGAAGATGAAATGCAAAAAATGCATAGTGCAGATGCAACAACAATAAATGTGTTTGTCCTACTTACTTATTTCGCGCACCTTATATTGTTGTTTGTAGTTTTCTCAGGGTTGACAATCTTATAATGTTGGGAGGTGCGGTTCCAAAGCGTGGTGCTGTGGTTATTCAGTTCCCGTTTGATGTATTTTCGTATGTCTGATGCGTAGAAGTTCTGTTCTGTTTTAAGTGGGTGTTTAAGAGCATTTTTTTGTGATTTTATCTGCCATTTCATTTCTCAATATTTGACAGTGTCCTGGGACCCAGATGAGTAAAAATTTGTTTTTGTATGAGCTCAAGATATTTCTTATTGTAGTTGAGTAGTAATTTTGGTTATTAATATTGTCTATTGCTATTAAAGAGGATATGTTTGTTTGGCAACAGATTTCTGCTGTAAAAATGGAGGAGAAGTGGGGAAGTTGTTGGTAGGTGATGGTTTCCGTCGACGTTGTGACGCTATAAGATACTCCGGCGGTCGATTTTGACCCGTCAGTGTATAGGAATTGTCGGTAATTTAGAGATTC